TATTTTAAACGCCCTTGGGCTGCTAGAAGATTCTGGAACGCTACTAAACATAGTAGCAGTGTTGTAATTGCCAATCAGAGCCTCTGCATGTGACGTTTCGCTTCCTTGATATTTTTGGCTAAAACTTCAAGTGAACGCTGATTGGATGAAACGCTTCTTAGTGTTTCCTGATGCTTGCTTGTCTTTTGCAAGCAATTTTCTGGATCACTCCAACATTATTACGCTTTAATTCAGAGATATTTTATGAGAAAAAACACTTTAACTGTCAAAATCTGAATGCATACTTTTATTAGCCGGTGAATAAATGATTGAATATGTATTAACTAATATTAGATATGCTTATCATTTTTTTTCATTACCAAGACAACTGTATTCTCTCGAATATATATATGCATAAACTAGAGATGGTATTCACAGAATCAAAATCTTCACTTAAACATTTATCACTATGACACTGAAAACAAACAAAGTACTGGTTTAGGATAACTAGAAAAGAAACAAATAAAGAATTAAACCCCAGACATAATACAACGTTTCCGCGGTTGTTTGTCTTTAAAGGATGTGAATTTTTGGATTGAAATAATAATTTACTACTGCTTCTTTTTCTTTTCTTTATAATATGACGTAAATATATCGCATTACATGAAGTTTATCTTGTACAATTTACTATTTGTACTTGTATCATAACAAGTGATGAGACTAAAATTCATTCGAAATTTTAGGTTATTAACTAATATCTTACAATGATTTACCGTAATTCTCTTAAATTTGGTCATTATTCAAGATGACATTTTTTAGTTGGTTAATATGGTTATTATTTTAAATCTTTATGTAAGAGATAACCTTATTGTGAATTTATTAGTTCAATATGTATCAATAAAGAACTTCACTAAATAAACTATTTAGTAGGATTTCAATCATAACCCGGTACATACAACATGAGGTGTTTCTCTTTCTTCAGATAGTCACTTAAGTTATTTTAAGATTATATATCTGTACTTTTAGAATGAATATACTTTTTGTTATATCCGAATAAATAGAAAAATTATATTTCTGATGTTTCTGCTCATTAGGATATAACGAAAAATGTATTTATTACTAATTCCCTACCCAATGATCAATTTATTTAAGACTGTCTCGTCTACACATTTTCACAAATTCAATCTTTTTTCTGACGATAATCTTCTTTTACATAATTTGTCTTCAGAGTATCGTATGTGATGTGCTCTAAAACCAAAACAGTCTGATTCTATCACATGTACAGTAGCTTCAAATACACCTAGACCAGAACTCTCATGGAATTATCAAGATTAGCTGGTTTTAAAAATTACAATCAATTCACTTGGATATCTTCAGGTGATTTGAGATAAACATTCAGAGGTAAATAATTTTCGAACATAACTTTAATATACTAAACTGGGCAACGTAGTATAGTCGAAAATTGATTCTATCCGGTGTTTCACTATGTCTGCTAGGGTGCTGATATAGACCGTCGTAAATCTCTGTCAACATACACCTACGCGATTTGTTTTAACTCTTGCACAGATAGATTATCCTCTTCTTTTTATCTGTCCTATCAGCTTCATATTTTACATCGACATTTACTCACGCATAGCCTTGAGAAGGCTTTATGAATGTATATATGCTAGCGCGTGTGTATCTGGACACTTACTTGTACCACTTTCACACTTATAAACACTAGGCTACCTATTACTCACTCGGTTGGCCATTTCTGCCATTCCACTTCACACGCATTTCTCTTTGTCTCTTATCGTTCATCTGAATTATCGGATTTCTAAAATGTGTTCCTCAAATACTTTCGTATTCGACTTCTCACGTTTACGTTGCTATTTACGGTGCACGTTGACATAATATGTACAAAGTAAGCAATAGATACATTTCAATAACATCAATATCTTTTATAGGTATCCATACCAAGGTTGAACTTCTTAGTTTCAAATAAATTGAGCACTGCGTAGAAATTTAATAATAAATATATTTTTCTGTTATATCCCAATGAGTAGAAAAATTGTATTTCTGACGTTTCGTGACTTAATGTAAGCCATTTCTTCAGAGTAAAGAAATGACCGAAATAAAGGTAACACAAGTTGAAATATTATAAAGGAAACAATGCAAAATATTTTTAGTACATTACCGTGCTTGCCAGCCAATCAGGTGCTAGAACAGTTTTCCTCTCTTTACCCCACCTCAAACTTACGCATACTATCCTCAAGGTTAAACCGATCAGCCTATCGCGTCAAGGTCTTGATCTGGAGTAGACAGTTCAAGGTCATAACAGTATTCATATCATATTCCTTAAACTTCGGTGGTGATTCTCATCTTTGTGGAAATATAAAAAGGTGCCCCGTGAACAATGTATAACTAGATTGTCTTCTTCTAAACTTTATTCTCGTGAACCATATGCATTTCATTGTGCTAAATGCTCAGGTTGTGAAAAAACCGATCATATCAAATTTGTGTGTGAACCTGCTATTCATTTCACAGTCTTTGATAATATGTTATTAGTTACAGTTATCACTTATTTTCACTGTTTGCTACTGGTTAAAAACCGTATGTTACTGATGGTTCGTTTCAGCACTTCAGTACAGATACAGGAAGTATTGAACCTATGATTTGAATTTGAGAAATCCTTTTTAAGGACCACTTGAAAGGACGATACCCATGGGCTGTACGATGGCCGAATGATACCTAAGTGCACCACACGATTGAATTCGTTTTTAGCCAACCTCAGCTTTTCGGGAGCTAGTCGGTGCGCTCTCGAGAATACAGATGGTCCTGTAGTCGTGACGTGGTGTGTAACATCGCCGGTTACAGACGGTGATTTCGTTCATTTTTGATGCAGAATAGGGTGCTTATCGTGTATCTGTTGACAGAATGAATCGATTGTGTACCTTACGTTGACCGGGGGTAATCCAACATCGGAAAAGAAAGTCCCACGAATATGTAATTAAGCATCACCATCTACTAACTTCTGTTTTCTCGGGACGATGAGTAGATTGTAGCGTTATGGCTGGTCTATACCGGCTATTGTCATAGAAGCATACGCAACAAAGAAAATCCAGAAAATGGTTTGCGTAAATATACGTCAAGATGAACATACTGCTTAGAATATGTGGAAGTCTGTTTCCAGTTAATCACCTGTAAGTTGAGAACCAAATCATGCAGACAGTCATTAGAATTTGCCGGAAGAATGCCTACTGCGCCAGTGTCGGCGAGATAGCGAACTCTCGTCATCACGTCAGTAATGTATTCGCCAACTGCGGTTGCCGTTAACTCGTACCGGCTCTGAAGTTTGTCGAAGTAATTTTCGTGATGGACGTTTTGACAATGAAGAAACTGTGACGTATACTCTAATCTCTAGAAGATTTATCATGGGTGCTGTCGTAAAAGCGCTAATCAGGACTCTGACTCTCATGGTCTAAAACAGATCTTTTGCGTGACGAGTCTCATTGAGGAGTTTGAGCTCGTCGCGATCATGATGGGTATTAAGATGAGTGAGAGTATGACAGTAACCTGTAACGTCATTTTGAATCCTTTCAGACCTTTCTTAGACGAAGTAAGAGTGCGTGTTGAAGGTTCGGATAATCTTCAAAATCCGATACAACCAGATTGTTGACGGAGTTATTTTGGAGTGAGAAAAGAACCGCTTGCTACTGGTTAGAAACCTCAAGTGAGAACAGCTTTCTTAAATGGTCTTCATCGAAGGTTCATCGACCAATGACCTCGCATAAGTAACAACAGTTCTGTTGCTAAGCCGTGTCGCAATTTGATGTTGTGGGTGAGCTGGTCTGGCCTTTTAGGTCGATTGTGTCTCCCAGTTCGAATATGATATGAAACGTTACAATAAGAAAAAGACTCATGGTGTACTGTTTGATGTACCAGATCAAGTCGGGTTCGCCGTTACAGAAGCCAGATATATTCAGAATTTGACAACTCTTAGTCGTACCGCAACTCAATTTCGTGGTAAAGCTGATCTAAACTTTGTCGGTCGGTTAGGCCTCTCCATTTAAGGAAAGCCTTCTTTAGAGTGTCGTAAGGTTCTGAAACATCACTAGTAAACCTACTAAGTGTGAGACAGCTGTTAAAACCACGCGTTAGTGCACTCACCACTGTGAGGGATTCTTCACGTAGGTCTGTCAATTCGTGCCCGTGGAAATCAGCTTCTGCGTAGCAGAACCAGGCTTCTATATTGTCAGGCCAGAATGGCACAAGCTGAAAATTGGGAGGCGTAGTAATCTTAATTTCAAACGGCTTAGATGTCTGTTGTGCCATAATAAAGATAAGATATAAAAATGAGCCAGAAAGGATATCTGAAAATGCAAAGCTAATATGATTGTAAAAATAAAAGTTAAAAAGTAATAGAAAATGTTCCCATAAAGGACAGTTTCACAGTTTATTGTTTGATGTACCAGATCGCGTCGGTCTCACAACGACAGATACCACAGATATCTAGAGTTTGACAACGCCTTTACACTTAACACCTGTATAATCTAAGTATATTAACCCAGCCAAATTAAGAGTCAGAGATGAAGGGGTTAGTAAATCTATTTAACAACTATCAGTATGTTGAAGGACCGTTTGGTCCAAGCCAGCCGTTAGATGAAAGGGATGAGTAGCACCGCGTACTCACTCGTGATCTGTTGCGGATGAATGACGGAGCATCTCAAGCTAGGTGAGCCCAGTAGAACTATTGCGGTCAGCATTAAATATAGAAAATTTACAGAATTACTGATTTTGGGGATTTATTTACCATTACAGTTATCACAAGTCCCTTAACCTACTGTTCACTTCCAAACTGGTAACCACTGAAGACCTGGAACGGTATCTTATCATGAAGACGCGAGCTCGTGGAAGTTCACCAATATACACCAACTACTCATAAAGTTTTAAGACATTGGCAACTTGACGCATTATTTCTTTCTTCCTTATGAAACCCAGAACCTTTACACAATGGTTCATATTTTCTATCACTAACGACTCGGGATCAAAATCCAAAATATACTTGTGGTCACTCAGTGGAGTTTGTGAATTAAAGTTTGCATTGGAACATTTTATGAGGTCAGGGTGTTACTACAAAATTGTGCGCTTATACTTGGTTGGATTATTTGCTCGATTTGAAGTTTGTGTTTGTCTGGGACTTGTACTGTCGGTGATTGTTGTCGGCTGCTTTCCTTAATAGATGTAAGTGCATTGTGTGCTCTTTCTGAATCGTTGGCTCATTTTTTGTTTCCTTTTCCATTCCTCACATCACTCTTCATGCTCTTTTATTATTCAAAATACCTTCTGACTTCACGCAAGACGTTGTACTTTGTTTGGGTTTAGGTTCTCCAGACGTTGTCGGTAATCGTGGCTTTATTCCTGTAGACTCAATATAAATTGTTTATTAAATGAGTTGGTTTTACCTGCATATACGCATATAATCCTTTTAGTACTAGAAGAATTCTTCTAGTATATACTCCAAACATATTTGGTGTTTTTAACTTCGCTAATTATACAGGTCCCAGGTACTGGCCGGATTAATGAGTGGTTAAATTAAGCTAATTCTAACAAATTGTTTATCCATAGCTGTAATGTTACAATGTCTCGTTTCTTTGTAAAGTTTGCGTTGATACTATGTAGAAATTTTCATCCATCTAGCATTATGCAGTATCAGTCGTAAACACCAGACCTATCCTTGGTAAACATTAGACAAATTGTGTTTTCCAAATCTTACGGTTTCTCATTAACTCTGTAGGGTTGGTTATTACTTGCGATAGTGATCATTATCATAGTAAAAGTAATTGGGTTTTTTTTTAAATTGACTAAAGACTAATACTAATATTGTCGCTGACCGAAGCCACTACCTTAACGTAGTGGTTGCGCTTGTCTGTGTTAATGACCCGATCAATCTGTATTGGCTGGGACAGTTATCCCTTTAGGTTGTACCAATTCTATAGAACCTCCACTAACCCAGTTCTTCCGAGTTACCTGAAGTGAAATGTTCTCTCACTATGCGGACGACCTAGGAGTGACAACCGTCCTCTTCTACTTACTTACGCCTGTTACTCCTAAAGAAGCATAGACCGCCGACCAGTATTCTCCAACCCACTCTGTCCTAGGCCTTCTTTTCCAGTTCCATCCAATTCCTGTTCATTTTTCTCATGTCTATCTCCATTTCCCGGCGTAATGTGTTCTTTGGCCTTGAGGAGTTCGTGTGAGGGCTTGTCTTGTGACGCAGTTTGGTGCTTTCCTCAACGTGTGTCCTATTCACTTCCAGCACTTGATTTCTTCCTCCACTGGGATCTGGTTTGTTCTTCCCACATTAGGTTGTTGCTAATAGTATCCGGCCAACGGATCTGAAGTATTTTGTGTAGACAACTGTTAATAAACACCTGTATCTTCTGGATGATGGTTTTCGTAGTTCTCCAGGTTTCTGCCCCATACAGTAGAATTGTCTAGACATTTGTATTGAAAATCCTGACCTTTGTGTTGGTTGACAGTTTCTTTGAGTTCCAGATGTTCTTCAGTTGTAAATATGCTGCTCTTGCTTTGCTGATCCGCGCCTTCACATCTGCATCAGATCCACCCTGTTCATCAATAATGCTGCCCAAATATGTAAAGGCTTTTACATCTTCCAAATCTCCCCCGTCAATTGTGATTGGATTGGTGCATTCTGTGTTGCATCGGAGAACCCTGCTTTTCCCTTTGTGTATATTGAGACCTACTGCTGCTGAGGCTGTTGCCACACTGGTCGTCTTCCCCTGCATTTGTTGTTGCATTTGGGATAGAAGGGCCAGATCATCTGTGAAGTCTAGATCGTCTAACTGCATCCTAGATGTCCATTGTATCCCGTGCTTCCCTTCAGATGTTGACGTCTTCATGATCCAGTCGATCACCAGGAGAAAGAGAAAGGGTGAGAGTAAGCAACCTTGTCTAACACCGGTCTTCACTTCGAACGACTTTGTCAACTGTCCTCCATGCACGATTTTGCAGTGTAATTCATCATATGACCTCTGTATGATATTGGCTATCTTCTGAGGCACTCCGTAATGTCGAAGAAGCTTCCATAGTGTTGTTCTGTCCACGCTATCAAATGCCTTTTCGTAGTCAATGAAGTTGATGTAGAGTGATGAATTCCATTCAGTTGATTGTTCCACACTGTCCTCTTCTAACATCACCCGATATCACTTTGTTCACGATCGAGTCCCTGCTCCGGTTTGGGCACCCAGGCAGTATCATAGCCCTCAAATAACTCAAATGAGATTTATGTGGCGCATATGTATTTGGTGCCTCCTTGTACCAGTATCTTTTTGTCCAAATAATAATAAGTCTCTTCGTCACTTCTCAATATTTCTTCTATCTTGACTATTAACCCTTGTCCTATGGATTTATTTCTATCCCTAAGCATTACCAATGCTGACTGTTCAAATCCATGAGATGCTATTTCTTTCCTTGTAAAACCACGTGATAGAGCTTTCGTTGTTTGAACCTTATGTCGAAAAACTACACTCTCCAACCTAATTGTGCCAGATTTTAACGCCTAAGTTGGCATTTCAAGCCGAAACGAAAGACACCTAGGTGTTTTACTGTGTCAGTTCAACGAACAGATAGCTGTAACCGTCCGCCGCAACTACTCTCAGGCAACCATATATTTTTAGCAAGCACCAATTTCTAGCTTAAAGAGTAACATCGTGTTACAGACAGCAAGAACGAACTTTTCGGACGGAAATAAGTATTGAAAATCCTGGAATTATTGGGATTGTATATTTAAAAAAAAAATGGGACAATGCTCCATTTTCAACCTAGGCGATTGGAATAATAGGCAGAGCACTGAAGAACAGTTTAATTGCTCTCCGACCACCGTTCAGTCGTCTGCTTTCATCAAGCAACTTGGCTGGTATGTCAACGTAATCCTCTCCAACTCTTAGTGAAGTAGAAAATGTCATAGCTAATTTATGGCGTGGGGATGCAGCAGGTCTCTTGAAATGTTAGCTAGAGACTGGATATCATCCAACCTGACTGGTACCGATCGCTAATCGTTTCAGCACATAAAAAGGACGGAAATCCTCTTGTGATAACGACGAAGGAATCAGTCTAACTAATATCGTATCTGAAATATTAGCCTCAATAACCATCTGAGACTTGACTTGGCCTCGTGAAGTCCAAACTCGGCAAAACCAGATTGATTTCAGGCCTGGGGATTGGTGTGTGGACCAAACGACTCACAACCGTAGTTGTGTTTCTTGACCTTCAGGCAGCTTTCGGCTCCGTTAGTCGACAGGCTTTATGACAGTGTCGTTGTAAAGAATACTAATGAAGTACATCAACCTTGTACAAGCTCTGCTCGACTACTAGTTGAGTCAGAGTTTATGGTGAACTGTCATACAAACATCTTTATACCGGAATATAGCCATTTCTTTCACAAATTTGGCAATATACTTTCCTCTCAAGTAAAGCATTTTTCAGGTTTCGATCGCTTCTAGTTATTCATGATCTCATGTTTGTCCAGGCAATTAACATGTGAATTTTTGTTTTAGATTCTCTTCAAATGTCACTGACTGGACCTCAACTTCTTCCCCTTGAACTGGTTGACAAATGCATAGGTTCTAAGATTCATATAATCATGAAAAATGATAAAGAAATGGTGGGAACCTTGCTTGGTTTTGATGGTTACGTAAACATGGTCTTGGCTGACGTTACTGAATTTGAGTTTACAGCCCAAGGTAAACGTATAACAAAACTGCCACATATTTTGCTGAATGGTAGTAACATTGTTATGATGGTGCCTGGTGGAGAAGGTCCTGAAATTTAAACTATATGGTATTTTCACTGTATATAAAATAAATACAAAAATAAATTGTTTGTAACATTTTTTATTGCTGTTTCCGGATAGTAGGACTATTCTGTTATTGGTCTGCAGTAATTCAAAACTACTTAAAAATGCTTTAAACCTTCAAGATGTTCAAAATCATTAGAAGCCTTAACTGCTTTGAATCTGAGACTTTGTCACTAGTCAGACAAAAAACACCCTGAAGTATATAGCATAAATGAGTATCAGTCCAAGTTACCACTCTTCAAATCATCACAATAGGAGGAAATTTAAGTAAGAAAATAAGGCATTCGGGAGCACTATTTTGCACGCTGTCATTTAAAATATAGTCTGGTGGGAACAAATATAACTAGTAAAAAGGAGTGTAGATGAATATAAAGAAAAGTCAAGTTTACAGGCTACTAGCGCATCAGATATTCTTAACTTATTGTTAGACGCTGTAAGTTCTTCATTTTTCCATAAAATGGTCGTTTTAGTGTATTTTTATGAAAGATGACTACTAAAAATGGTAATATAGATAATGTGATGAACTTAAAGAATATGGATGTAGCTTCAGCGATATGTGTGACAAACTGACTTGAGTCTTGTTGGTTTGCCCACTCGTTTGAACCCGATTAATCTTTGTTGGAAGTGTATTTTCATCAGCGTGTGCATGTCGTGATCAGCAAACTTACTACGAGACAAATTTCTACTACCGATATCGTCAAAACAGTAGTTCGATATCCATGGGTATGTGTTTTTTCCAAAACACTTGAATGATTGACTGTATTTCCCATGTTTCTTTAACGTCATGACTCTGTAACTCAAACTTTCACAGAATCCTATATATATATATATATATATATATATATATATATATATATATATATATATCATTGTTTCTTTCAGCGATGATTTTTTCGTACATTAGCTAAATAGATAAACCTTGGTGCAATACATAGAAAATTCTTCTGAATGATCTTAGCGAAGTACATGAGTCAGTAGATACAAACAAAATCGATAAAATCCGGAGAGGTCAGCTTTACGCGACAAGCGATCCATGGGCATAACTTTACATACTTCGATTAGGTGTTCACGTATAGAACTCCTGACTGCCTTCCTCTCGCCCTTGTAGAACCAAACTGGGACGTGTTTCCGTATCCGAATTGGAAGCTATCGCTGGCTACGGCCAATGTACCTTGCTCCACAAGAGCAGGTGAACTGGTAAATGCACGTGGAGGCGACCAGACGGGGAAGCTTATCTTTTATGGATACAGAAAATAAGTTCCTGCTACTGGAGATTTTTCGCAGTTTTACCGCATTGAACGTTCTTTCGTTCGCTATCGTTAAACGACTTTTTATTACATCAGAAATTCGATCACCTTTAAATTCCAAACTTATGTAGAGGTTTTTCTTTGTAACGGAACAACCATATTTTTGTCACAACTACTTTTCATATTTTTATCTATGAAGCGGTCTGGATAGCCATTTTTCGTCAATTTCTCTGAGCAATGCGAGTTCTTCGTCAATGTAATGGGTACTACATATCCGATGGATTCGATGACATAAAGAGTGAATGATATTTCTCTTTCTGCTTAAAGGAACCCAGTTATAGAAGTTTGTCAGCTGGTCATTTCATGTTTCTTTTCTAAATATGGATATTTTTAAGGAACCGTTACTCCTTCTTATTAGACGCACATCGAGAAAAGAGATTGACTGGTCTCGCTCACTCTCTAACGTAAAGTCTATGGAAGGGTGGCATTTGTTGAAGGAGTTTAAGATGTCTTCTAATTCAATATTATCGTCACAGACGACAAATTTGTCGTCCATGTATCTTACGTATAGATGAAATCGAATAATCATTGAAATGAGTCGGTCGTTTTCCCATTTTGCCATGAAACACTGCTAAAATTGGGTAAGTAATAGTGAGGTTAGATGCGGGGTATTAAGGAATGATGGCAAATCAGTTGATGAGGTTGTGAATCTTCATCGACTGAGATGGTTGGGCCACGTGGTACGTATGCCTAAACACCGATTACCACGACGTGCAATGCTAACCGGTGTTGGAGATGGTTGGAAGAGAGTTAGGGGCGGCCATACCAAAACGTGGCATCAGTGCTTGAAGTCACTAACTTCTAGTCTGAGTCATGTTGGTAGATGCAGACTACTTGGTTGGGGTCCGCGTAACTATCGTAACCAGTGGTTAGACTCTTGGTGACATGGCTCAGAATCCATCACAATGGCGTAGGTGTATACACTCTCTGTCTTCTCTTAAACTAAGAGATTAAAATCGCTTCATATCTTTCTTTCTACGAACTAATTCTTTCTTCCTGTACTATATCCTTATTGCAATCTTTCTTTTATATATTACCATCTCTGAATTAACTACCTTTATGAATCCCGTGTCCATCTTGTTGTGTTAATGAGGTATGGCAACTTGAACCGATGCATACATGTGCCTGGTCCTACGTCGTAGTTGACTGACTGACTGCTAAAATTGGAGACCCCTTCGCTGAACTTCATGTTATTAATTTTTAATTGTTGCTCACTATTTAATTATTTCAAACTCAAAACTTCTCATCTGTCTTCTGCAGACGTAGATTTACCCTTATGCTGTTAATATGTAAAGAATTTAGAAACAAATGCTATCAGAATTTTCCATATTTACTTCCCAGAATAAACTGTACCTAACTTTTTAGAAGAACTACTTCGAATTTTACATACCAGTTTCCTACGTCTGCTTAGAACCGGTAACGTTTACTCTATCCTAATCATACTATATAAGTGTATAAATATATAATGGGAATAATTTAGGAAAAAACTTGTCTTTCCTGACTAACATTAACTTAACAACCCTGAAAAATTGTACGATCAGCCTTAAAGATCTCACTAAAACAACCCAGTTTTAGATAGACACTAATGGACAAGACGCTTAGTAGATATATAACGGTAAATAAATCCCCTAAATAAGTAGCTGTGTGACATGTGTTGGTCTTACCAGTTTTATTGGACTCACCTCTAGCTGAAGGCATTCGGTCAATCATCTGCACCGAATCACATTTGGGTGCGCCGTGATAAGCATCTACAACTAGTCAGTTTGGGATCGTTAACTGTGCGGTACATCGATCTGTAATCCGGATGTACGTCCGCACCCTGTAATTCCTTACTCTTGATTTTATTGGCTTTGGGATCTTTTTGTAAGAAGAGATTTCAAACAGTAGTGTTGTCAAATCCTACGTGTCTATAACCTGTTCAAGACATTTACTACAGAGGTGAGAAATTATAATCTTCATGATACATATTTAATATGGGATTTTTGTTCTTAAATTCACAGCAGATTTAGGTTAAATTGATTTTTCTTAGGTTTTCGACACTGACGTCGCATTTAATGTGACCAAGAACGTCCATAACTCCAAATTAAAAATGTCGACACTTGAGCACCAAATCCAACCACCCACTTACCAGTTCTTAACATAGCTTGAATACCACAATGCCATTAGCGGGTAATCTGTGTCGATTTATCTGACTACAGATCATAGCTACCCTCCACAACGCCCTCATATTTATTTGAGAAATCTATTAGTAAACCAGATACTACTAGTAAATTGTTTTAGAAACAGCTACCCTCCACAACGCCCTCATATTTATTTGAGAAATCTATTAGTAAACCAGATACTACTAGTAAATTGTTTTAGAAACAGTAACCCATGAAACCAACCGAGTCGGAATAGAAGTGCATGCCTTCATTTTTGATATCACAAACTGTTGAAATGTGTCCCCATACGACGGCACTAATCGCACTTAACGGAGAGGTGTGATAATCCCATGAATTTCGTAGTTCGAACTCGCGGAATTGTAAAGTGTTTATGTTGTATATATGGAGACCCAGAATTGCCCATGATCATCACAAGTTATGTTGATTCCTTAACATTTTAAGGTGCTAAACAAATAATACTTTTTTTGTATTGGTTGTTTAGAACTTCCCATTGATGTTTAGGACCGCAATTGATCAGTCCCTTATTGGCATATGTGCGAAATGCCTCGATATTGCCCTTAGTCACAGGGATTATAAGCAGAGATGATCATAGCTAGCAGTAGAATCCTGGACGGCGCTTCGTCTTACCTGGGACTCGTCAGCTGGACGTACCTGCACCCCAAAGTTGATGTTCACTCAGGGACTCTAACCCAGTACCGTTCGCTTCAAACTCCAACGCATTATCCGCTTAGATACTGAGTCCAGATGGTCAATGGATCGTGCAATGGAGTGAAGTTTGATTCATTTGAATCTTCACATTGATGTTTAGGACTGTAATTAATCAACCGTAGAGTATATTACAGAAGACTTGTCTAAACTGATCAGGTTTACGGATTTTATCTATACATGAGTGCACAATCGTCATGCAAAACATGAATGAACACCAAGGTAGTATAGGTATAAGCAATACCAATAAATCTATAATCGAAATCCCTTAAAAGGGAAATATTTTGTCTGATAATTTTCGAAATTCCCTCAGAACCTATATCAATCATCATTCTAAACGGTCATGAATTAACCTTCGTGAGTGGATATTATGTGGTTGTTTAAGTTAGTTTCTTAAGGAAATCCTTATTCAAATGTAAAACATCAGCTGAAGAAACTTAATACTCAAGAAAAAGCTGACAGTAAGATGCTTTTTTAAGTATCACAAGTGAATATTGATGAAAACAGAGTACCAAATACTCTTATGAAACCATGCCATGAAAAGTACTAATTATGATCTGACGTATACAAATATATCAAATGTCTCATAAGAATAATCATCATAACCAAAACACCATATTTTTAGAAAAAATCTACGCGATTTTGTAGAGGCTCAATGGATATCAGCATAATAGCAATCTAATTAGCTATCTATATTTACTAAATTTAGATCATTTTGCTGCAAGTAACCAATTTAAGCTTATCGATTAAAATACTATAGAACACTTTGTAAACTTATATTTTACGGTAGTACATGAAATATCACTAAGAGAATCTTCGGTTTATTATACTACATTAACAGTATCCATTGATATCAATAGAAGCTTGAGATTTTTAGAGCAGCAAAACAATGGGTATCAAGAAAAAGAAAACAACTATGGCTAGTTAAAATTTACAACTTTTGGTAGAAAATAAAATCTGAATGAAAAGTAGACCACAGTAGAACCAAAGTGTAATTGATGTAATAATTCTTAGTTGATGAGAAGTTTGTGCATGTGCATGTTAAATACAACGTAGCTTTATGTAAAGAATAGCAATATATTTACAACCACTGAATAGTTTATGTACATTTAATGAGCCAATACACATTTAGAAAACTAAGTAACTCATTGTACTACAATACATAAAGCTGGAATAATTTAAACACAAAAAAATAACTATATAATTGGTTAGTGGACCCTATATATATATATATATATATATATATATATATATATATATATATATATATATATATATATATATATATATATATATATATATATATATATATATATACCACATGTTTACATGCAAATAGCCTGGATCAATCGAAATAAACAATGGCCAAATTAAATTATAGTGCCAGCGAGTGCACGTGCACGAAGAACGAAAAACTGAGCGGTACCTAAAGGATTGGGATAAATTGCATCTGGTGAATGATTTACACAAGAAACAAGATGTCCTTGTGTAAGAGATTCATTTAATACTGAAGACCTGGACGATTGTAAGGTTGATGAATTATTGTGTCGTTGATATAGATCATTATCATTACGATTTTGCGATCCATTAACTAATGGGTGAAATGTATTCATATTTTCATTTGGTCTAATATCATCTGAGTCAGTCAAACCACCAAAAAGAAATAAACAGCCATGACCAAAAGCACATGAAAAACCTAAGCATTCAGGTGGTGCGGAATAAAGATCTAGATAATTTTGTTTGACAGGCGCCAACCAAACACCTTTAGCTTTATTTTCTGTGAAGTGAATTTTAGTTTCAGAACTATATGATGCATCAGAATGAGAGTATATAATGTTGAGTGTATACAGAGCCAAGGGACGATAAGCACATTCAAGTTTTACGTGGTTAGAAGGATACTGGTTATGATTGGATGAACTTTGATTTGATGAAAATGATCGAGCAAGTGATGATGTATTAACTTCATTAGGGATCAGGTTACGTGTTCCAAACAGCCTTCGTTCTTGAATAGCTAAAGCTTCAAGTCTTCGTGCACGTCTGTTATTTGCACGCCTAGATGACGGAAGTTGCAAAATCCCAGTCGATTCACGATCTATGGAAGAAATATTAAATTATAAACTGTTATGAGAATATAGGTCTAGTTGTTTCAAATGCTAATGAAAGTGATAAAACAAACAGTTGAGTAATATATTTTTAATAACCATACAAAAAATACAACCGAACAATGTGATTCGTTATATTAGCTACGAGTTATTCCTATCTAAAGAAAATTATATACATTACTTTGAATGGCAGGAACACTACTATTGAAGATATTTAGAAAGTGTAATAGTTACGAGTACAACACAAATTCATTATATTGAATGCATAATTAGAGTAACTTATAGAACAGAACTAAAAAACATTCAGCCCACACAACCCGAAGTAACATAGTTTTTTTCTGTTTATCAATTTGAATAAGGTAAGAACGAAGATCGTGGTAGAAATAAGTGAATTCATATTAATTTGTAGTGGTCTTTGTTTTTGCTTTATCCGAATAAGTAAAAGTATGCATACGAGTGACAAACCTCCATTATTTCAATAAAATAAAAGCTATCTATTTAGCGTAAGCATATACTTTTATTTATGGTAGAATATTTGAACAGGACGAAACCATTCCTTAGTCTCGATTATCACTCTACGTAGTATCGCTAACCACAATTTTGATGAAAATTTTGCAAGTAATAAGCCATATATACTAAATTCACTCGGTCATCTTCGTGAAAAGTGTAGATGTCTAAGTGAGCGGATAGATCAGTTCTATCATAGGTACTAAAATAATTTGTATAAAGCTTAGATTTATTTCAGAAACTGATACTCTAAGTATTTGTGTGAACATTACACGACGGAAAAGAATTAACTCTCATAATCCAATCTTCATCTCACTAGCGGCAGAATGATCCACAAAACTCGGGTTCTTCAACCACTAACGTGTTCAACGAAATTCAGTCATATTTTTGTATGTCCATTATTTTGTATACCAACATATCATCTAACTAGAAAAAAACTATTCTTCTGGGCAATAGTTTTGTCTTGTGATATTAGTTTACGTAGATAATTCGATCAGGTGAGCAGCTATATAGTACTATTGTGTATCATCTATCGATCAGTATTCTGTCAATTATTTTAACAATAAAGAAACGCGCATATTAAAATCAGTTCTTTATAAGTCCGTTTGTTGCAAAAAACACTCTTCATGGTTACTGTGGCCACAGTGAGCGACGAAATTATAAAACATCCTAAACTAGTAGGGAGTTGAACGATAACACTAGGATGAATACTCATTTTATATATGATCCAGTTCACCTTACATCAAATCCAATATTGCAATCTCGGACCATACAGTTTGCTGGGAGTGTAAGAGATAGTAGCTATAAACTTAATTTTATAGTGGCAGATATTCGTATTTTTACAACATGCCTACCAAGATAAAAATAAAATAAAAAGTCTACTTGGTGATTCATATATATGAAGCAGTTCAAAGCCAAAATGCTCATACCAGTGATATCAGCTGAATGACAATGTTTACGCTGCTCCTCATCCTCGTCATTGACATCATCATCTGACGTACGAGAATCTTGACCTACCGAATTACTTTGAAAAGTTACACTGTTTAACTCGGAGTTGAGTTTCATGCGATGCCAATATCTGCGCTGTTTAGCTGCCTCATCCAGCAATGCTGTGGTAGGTTGACTGATGACAACAACAGTATAGACATTGTGTACAATTGAGTTGTTTGTACCAACGTTGTCACTCGGTACAGAAATAAAATTACTGTCCTTTGTCAACAACAGTGACTTACTGTCTTCACGATATGGAAGTGAAACTGCGGTTGCATGATAAAAGTCTATCGGTGGGCATCCAGGGATACCCTCAGAACATTGAACTTTGGTCCAGAACCAATCGACTTCAAACCATTCTGAATATAAAAGGGTATGATTTGAAGAATTATACAGCAGTCTGCATACTAGGACATTATCTTATTTACGAAAAAAATGCAACATTCTTTAAAATATACCCAGTTTGAATAACATTACCAAACAGTTTCTAGACATTCTAGTAAGAAAAATATGTGGACGCGATTTCGAAATATAAATATGTATGAAACACTGAATCATAGGATCGAACAAGTAAAGAAATGGTACTCACTGTATAATAAGCACACAGCTCTTTAAGTGATTTGAGAAAAAAGAATGACAGATAACTATACATACTCGAATAATTATAAATATCCATGAGAGTACATCACGAGAATCATCAGAGATGGTTTAGTAAATATATTGAAAATTTATATTCACAAGAAATTCGCATCTACACATTTTAGATGAAATATTCGAAGAAAACTAATCTTAATTCCAACGCACTCCATCAAAGTAGATAGACTTTAGCTTGCGTAACAACCAGGCAAATAAACTCATAATTGCATAAATAAGTCCTGGTGAGTTATTAGTAAGGTGATAATTAAATTAACTACATACTCGGTTAGAATATCACCAAACAGTCTTCAAAAATGATTAAAAGTTACCAAACAAACCATGGACTGTTAACACTGAGCTAACTAACCAAATAGCGTGTTGTACATAAGATCTTGAATTGTAGTATATAGCTAGCAATAAATGTTGCCGTCCGGTATTGGTCAAAGTATGCTTGAAACCTTGAAGAAACTCATATCCCCAAAGATTGGATTGGAACCAATTTTTTTAGAGTTAAACTTAATGAAAGTACCACGAACTCTGTTGCAGATGACAGGTGTTGGACAATAAAGATTAAAAACTTGGAGAGTAAATAAAGACCATCGACGTACTCTGGCAATCAGTACGAACAAACATTCAACATCTAATTTCGGATATCTTGATGGATATAATTATGAGTTATTATATTGAATTGAGAAAGGTTTACGTGAAAACTCAATCTAGGTAGTGTTGAAAATATCTAAGCTTTCTTTGAGATTACAGTTAGAAATATGACAGCAATAATAAGACCATGTTTGTAATATTAACAAGACGGGTATCAGAATTCACTTGTTCAATAATTGCTTGTTGGGAAAATGACGGACATGATATATATGTGCATAATACTACATTTATAAACTGAAACTTAAAAAAACTTAGTTGAATCCCATAAAAGTATTAAAGTTGATAGGAAGGTCTTCAAATAATGAGGTTTAACATAAACGAGATTGGTGTATTGCGACTGACAATAAAATCGAGTAAAGTTTGCAATAACTAACCTTGACCAATACTTGGTGAACAACGTGTAAGTATCCATACATCTCTCGCCGGTCGACCATGATAGTTAAGTGTACTAGAAGTTGATTCAGAATCATTACTCGAAGTAGGATTAAATGACATTCCTTGTTGTCGACGCACAGAATGATCAGTGGCCAAAGGTGATTCCAAATTCCCAAATAACAAAAGCATTCTATTTGAGTCAAGAGCGCAAGTTGAATGACCACAGCGCCCAGATGGCCAGTCACCTTGACAATTATCCGTTTTATCAGAAAGTGAAATCCAACAACCATTTTCCGGCGATATCACAAATAAGTAGTTAACACACAATCCAAGAGATTGACACATTCCTCCGAATAAAACCAATACACTAGGTTCGCCTATTCCACCTTTAGGGAGAAAGCATCCAGACTGACCGGCAATTGCAGGTGGTGATACAGGACTTAAGTGGTTTACTTCGTATAACGGCATACGTGACCAATGCATTGTCGAAATATCAAAACTATTCAACTCAGTTAACCAATCCATACGGCCCTAGATGAATTTTAAAAAGAAATGAGTTACAACCACTAGTGTTACCCGAGACTTTGGGTACTCAGGAAGTTTGGACAAAGTATTATATGGAGTGCTATCAATTTGTACTTTGTTGAACAAGAAAAAAATATTATAACCAATACAGATGAGTTACTGTACATGTATTGCGTAGGTTTATTAACAACACGTTAATGAATCTAATACTCATCTTGCATAGGACAAAGTACCAAAATGTTACTGCAAGAAATATATATCAAAAGGCAATACTAACGACTGTTTATCCCCATCTCATAAGTCCGTCTAATTTTTACTTAAATATCCTCTTTACAATCTCATTTTCAAAACTAGTTAAAAGGTTTTCTGTTTCAACTTATGTGCATCAAGTGAGGCAAACAAGCACGTACTAATATTAGAGCATGAACAGAGTTAAAACGTCTTTCAACATACGGTCTACCTGTCTTTATGTTTAGTGTTGGTCCTTACTAGTAACAAATAGCTGTCTCAGCATACTTTCTAATTATGAATTTAACAGCATACATATATTAGATGTGTTCTCTTTGTATCTTCTGGAATGATGATTTTATATACATTTATCACTAACACTAGCAACGAGTAGCACGATCTGTCTGTTCTTCTTTGAGATTGTTCTAATAACTAACAAACTGGACCATGGAATGGATTCATTTTGCCGATAAGGAAGTTACTCCTGAAATAAGTCACGGAACACAATCACTTCAGCTCTTTTCAGGTGAAGGCACACAACCAAATCAGTATGGATTGCCCAGTGAGAAAACCTTGTCATCTTGTTAGGGAATTTTTACCGACGTGACATACGTGACCTAGACTATACGAGCAACCTATCCATATTCTAGTTGTGAATTACGAGAGACCAAAGGACGATTATTTATATGTAAGTGCACAACTTATTCTTGTAAACTAACTTCTGTGAAAGTTAGATGGGCTAATACTATAACAGACTCGGCATTGAGCCACACATTTTGCGTTAGAACTAGTGGTATTATTCGGCTGCCGGGGTAGGTGGAACATAGTTTGACCAGAAACTTACTAATTGAGAGCCAATAAGCCACCGCTCATAAGAGAAAATGTCTAACGTAATTCTTACCGTATGTTCCGATCCCGCTCTATGAAAGCTTTGACAACCTCCGTACAGATAAAGTAGATTTCCAATAAAACCACCCTTAGCATGTGCTCTTGGTGTTGGTAGCTCACCTGATAAATAAACAAGAGATTTTGAAACTTAATAAAATGATCAAATCACATTGAGGATATAAAACGTATTAAATAGTGGACATTTACATATTAATTCGATAGCAAATTCAATTAAATCACAGATCCTTTCACCACTTGTAAACAGCTAGAAACACCCATGGATCGGCAGAACCGGAAAACTGAAATTAGTTACAACAAATCTATCAAAATGAACTATGCGTCAACTTACTAGTTAGAACAATAAATAGTTAATTACGTCGTCACGGTAATATGACAAACCACATCACGACATGTTATCAGCCCACTAAGTCATTGACTGACCATCTGAACTGACTATGCAGTTACTAGATCAACGAACTAGTCACAATTCACAGTGGATGTCTCAAAACTGGTTTCAATATTGCAAACATATTTGTCATTTATCTTCTAAATCGCGACTTATTTACATAAATACATGTATTTGTGGTTTATTGGAAGGTAATGATAGTCGAAGGTCATTAGAGAACCAGTTAATTTGAAACTTCATGTACCAATACGTTGTCTGTTCGTTATTCTAGAGGATTACAAAAGGCTAGTTAGAAAATTAGCTCTTGCTACACAAGATTTTCATGTAAGTGTAAGGTCTCGAAAGTGAGTAGCCAATATTACATAGCTGAAAATGGCACCCAAATGCCATACCATTTTTATTGTAAGTGTTGTTTGTAACCTTTCTGCTTAACTCACAGATAGACACTTAGGTTTGTAGAGTTAACTCTTTTTGGCATATCATTGATAATTGTGAGCATTGTTATATGTAGAGCAGGCCAAGCGTGTACAGTCACTGCTAGGGAAGTCCTACTCACTGCCTTCTCGTGACGTGTATTTTACGAAATTGAGGGGGTGAGAGGCGAATGTCCGGCGCTTCAACCGGGTTAGCGATACGGAGGATCGATCTAGGGGAGTTGGAAAACCCTGATTCCAAACCAATGGTGCAATGGGCTCCAGTATCCTGAGGGAAAAAATGGTGTATGAACCAACTGTTGGTCACCGGTTTCTATGGGACTGCATCTCCTTACGATGCTCAACTGCCTTGCTGATCAGACCTTCAGGTCGAAGGCTCGGGGAGTGGCTCTCCAAGCCCCCGAATGCATTTTTCAGAAAGAACTTCACTGAAGAATAATTACTATCCAGAAAGACAACCCGAAAGCTCACTTTGACATGTATGAAGTGTTAAAGACGTGATGAGGACAGAACTCGTCGAGTAATTATTTGGATCCGCAACAGTGTTATCGGCCATAGTTAATAGCTTCCGGAAGAAAGTTATGGAAAGTCACTAAACTTCGGAATGGTGACCCAAAATCGGCAAGACTACAATTTATGGACGACTTTTGAGCGATACTAATGTGGCCTTGAGAATATCCACCTACTGATTAGGGAAGAGTGAGGGCTTTAGACCTGTCTGAATGATTTTCAGTTGATGGTTAGGGATAGGGATTAGACTTAGGGGTCTCATCACGAACTGACACAATCTAAAATGCTAAGATACTATTTAGCCAAACAGATGAAAATTTTCGTACTGAAATTCAAGATCTGTTATCGCAAATCTGATTGGTTCGTTCATAAATGTTAGTCTCACCCTGAAACCTTATCCAAAATGGAATCCGAACACAGTATGTGAAATAAACTAGCCGCTTAACTGGGCAAATATATCATTTGACAGCAGTAGAAAGTTAACTGACCTTTACCAATCAGACGCTGCCAGCTGAAGGTGGATAAATCATAGGTCCATAAATCATTAAAAGCTGTTAGTTCCTTCGTAGCACCACCAAAAACATACAGTAACTGCTCTTTCAATATGATGGTTGCTCCAAACCTCTTGGATGGAGATGTGTGTTTGAAACGTTCTGTACAGGTAGCTAGCTGTGGAGATACCCATTGCAATGGCCTCTGCATTTTAAATGCAGATAGACTAAGACTTTCACGCAGCTTGAAGACGCTCTGACCAACCTCTCTCCACCGTCTGCAGACATTGAGTACTGTGAGTAAATCGGTACAAGGAGAGAGTAACATAAAAATACATTGCAGTAATTCAACAGGGAGGTCGCTGAACATTTGTAACGCTACATTTGGAAAATGATAACGAACCCCAATCTCAAGGGCAAATATTGGGCCATGTTCAACAACGTTCAAATATATAACAGTAAACAATCCCTTTTCATAAATAGCTAAAAATCATATGACCATCAGGTTAATCATGTTAGTTATATTCGACATTTCATCGAATGCATTTGAACAAGCATCCCCGTCGAATGATGTTGTAACTCGTTCTGAAACGCACCTCGACTGATAACTAATCAACTTGAAAGTCACAAATCACGTTAGCGAACCATACGATGGAATAAAAATTTTGAATCAACTATCATCGTCTCTTTCTCTAACTTGCTTTGAGATAATTTCCTTTGTAAAGACTATGACGTCAGCGTTGTTAAACCCCTTCATATGTGAATGTTATTCAAACTGTCAAATTTGTCGAGACTAAACGGGAGAATGACTGTTTGTTCGAGTCGTGTTCTGAATGTGGCAAAGCAGTTTTGATGTATGGCTCTTTCCGTGGCTCTTCAAGGGCTACTGCTGGTCTCAAGTCCGGGTTGAGCATGGATTCACCAACCTCATCCCGTACAAAACGATCTGGCCAAAAAAAACACGCCAACAGTAATAAAAAAATTAAACAATTTAAACTCTGCCATGGGAGTCCAGTAAATAATCATGACGCCTCCTGATGAAAACCGAGATTCTTCCGACGTCACGAGGGCGATACCCTTTCTAACAACCAGAGCAACAATTGACATAGGCACATGGAACGTCCGAAAAATGTTGGAGTACGGGAGTACTAGTCAAATAGCTACAGAAATGAGGAGATAGAACTTGACAATACTAATGATCAGCGAAACCCATCGGACCCAAGCTGGATAGCAAGGACTGGATTCCGAAGAGGTACTGTTGTATTCCGGTCGCGAAAGGTGAAATGCCCCGCACACTCAGGAAGTCGCTTTGATGCTTTCTAAAAAGAGTAACAACAGCACTTACAAGATAAGTATTACAGAAGCATTAGATCATTCTTCAGAACAAAGAAGGTCACATTGAATGTTATATACCCAACAACCATAGCAACGACGACGATAAAGATCAGTCTCACGAGAGAGTGCAAACAATCTTAGCAAACTGCCCATAAAACGACCTGAAAATCTTGATAGGAGACTTAAATGCCAGAGTTAGAATGTACAACATTAGATATGGAGTTATCATGAGAATCGTGACAGATCTGCACATTTATGTCCATTAAACAAAATGGCTGTAGGCGGCACAATATTCCCACATAAACGTATACACAATGCTACGTGTGTAAGATCCATTTTGAAGGTTTTGTGAGTGAAAATCCCTCCATATATACTCTTGCAGTTTGTTCTTACTGATTCCTTTAGTTGTTAATTTTGTTAGACTTTTTGATTCCATTTGAGTTGGTAATATTTGTGTTTTATTATCGCCTAAGTTTCCATGTTTCTTCCTGAACTGCATTTATGTTGTTTTACGTGATACCTAGTCTTGGCAGCAGCCACATTGGTTTGTTCCTCCTTTTGATTGTGTTGCTAGTATTGACTGGAATTGTGCATTTTTGATTGTGAATTGAAGCACTCCTCCAGAATTGGAAAAACTGTGTTACAAAGTAACCACACACTACCTTTTGAATGGATCTGTGCATGATCTATCCAGACAGGATGGAATAACATTTATTTGTCGTGATTGGTAATTTTCTCGCATCCTTTATCAACTTCCTTATTTATTGTAATTTAGATTTGATTAATTGAACAAGTATTGGTTGAATAACTGGGTGGTCATATTTATTTAGATAACAATGTGTGTTTAAATTTATAACGAATTTCAGCATCGTCATCTCGCCCAGTCGCTTTGCTTTGGTTTCAAAGGGGCAAGGGTGCGTAGCTAGCCCACCTAGACAGCTGTTCTTCAGTCCAAACCTTAGTTTGAATCTAAAAGTTCTAAACAAATATCAATCGATTGATCGAACGTGGCTCGTGCTTCGTGAATCACAAGTTTTGTTCCTGAAGATATTCAGTTCTTTCTGTCGTGATGCCAGATACTCATCAAGGGAAGTTAGGCTCAAAGCTCGTCGGTATTACGGGAGACGTACAAAAGAATAGATCCCCTCTCACAAGGCAAGTGCCCAATGATGACCTTATGTGTCATGGTTCAGAGTCGAATAGAGACAGTTATCATGATAGTGAATCTAGTTGTGATTCACTGGCAGACTTAGTAGAAAATCTTAGTTTATATGTGAAACCAGGGAAGAGCGTAATGTCTATGCTGTCTGTCGTAGATATAGAGCTATCAAAGATTGAATTGAGTCATTTCTACGGACAACCAAGAGGTTACTTGAAATGTTTAAGGGAGTTTGAGACCTATGTATAATCAAAGATCATGAATGATTGTCAAGGCCTGATTCATTTGATACATTGTTGTAAGAGTAGAGCGAAAACAGCCAATGAGGGGTATGTCATGTTGGATGCCTCTGTTAGCTATAAAAGGGCCAGGGAAATTCTAGAATGATTGTTCGGACAGGCACATGTAATTGCTCGAGAAACTTTAGAAGACTTATTCGAAACTGAAATTTTGATTACACTGAATCGGAGCAGCTATCAAACCTAGCTACAAGAATGGAAAATTGTGCCATGGTCTTAGAATAGATGAAGTATACAGCCGATCTAAATTCTTTAATTACGTTAGAGAGAATAGTAATGCATGCAAGCTCAGTGGGCGGACTTGTTGGATAAATTAACTGAAGACGATAGAGAGCCGACGTTTACCGAGCTCACTAAGTTTATAGCATCTCGTGCGAGAGTAGCTAGTAGTAGACGTGGACGGTTGATGAATCGTTCAAGAAAGGGAAATAACATAAAGACGAATTATCACTTGCAATCGGGGCAGTGGAATAGTTTGACAGAAAAAACTAAATGCAGTATGTGTTCCGATGACAACGCTATTTATAAATGTTCATGATTTTTAGCGCTTACAGTTCAAGATCGAATGAGCCTTTCGAGGTATATTCTTCGGATCGGTCTGAACACGTAATGATTGAGGGAGCTCTGATCGTGGAAAGTATACTAGGGCATAAGCCGACTAAATCGGCAATGAAAATGTGGAAAGGGGCATACGCTTAGATAATGGTCATTTCATTGTTCCGATACCATCAAAAACGAATCCAAATATAGAAGTGGAGAATTATGAAGTAGTAAACGGTAGATTACAGAGTTTGAAGCGTAGATTGTTGAGGCATGACAGTCTGCACATCAGGTATACCAAAATTATTGAAAGTATTTTACTGAGGGATATGCGGAGAAGGTCCCTGAAATACAATTGCAGCCAACTTATCGTGCTCGATGGTATTTACCTCATCATGCAGTGTTAAACCCGAAAAAGTCAGAAGAACTTAGAGTGGTCCTTGATTGTGCCGTCAAGTTTGCAGGGATTTCTTTAAATGATATGATTTATCAAGGACCTGACACCACTGCTGAGCTAGTGTGTGTATTATTGAGTTTTCTCAAGAAGGCATTTGCAATCTCTGTAGACGTGGAGGAAATATTCATACAAGTGAAGGTTCCTGAGCCTGATCGAGGAGCTTTAAGATTTCTATGGTGGAAGGAGGAAGACATCTCGAGGGAACCATCTACATTTCAAATGACCTCTCATCCATCTGGTGCCACATCATAGCCGTTTTGTGTGAACTTTGCCATGAATAAGACAGCCCAAACATTCTCTGATGGTTACGATCGTTATGTCATAGATGCTGTCAAGAACAATCTCTATGTTGATGATTGCTTGATATCCCTCTACTTGTGATCAGGCGAAGGAGTTTGCCAGGCAGATAAGTGGATTATGACGTAAAGGTTTTAAATTTAAAAAATGGATTACCAATTCGGGAAAAGTAGGGACTTGATGTATGTAAAGAATAGTCTTTGATAGAAATGTCAACGAGTTACGATACCACTCATCGAACTCTAGGTGAAGAATGGGATTTCAGACAAGATGTATTTGAGTTTTACTTTGATGCACCAGAAAAGCCTTTGACTAGGAGAGGGATTCTATCTGTAGTTTCTTCTCTGTTTAATCCTTTGAGTCAAATTGCTCCACTCTGTCTTACAGTCAATTTTCTCTTGCAAGAAGTATTTAAATCCCAAATAGGCTGGGATCAGCCTTTCAACGAGTCATACATGTCGACGTGGCTAAATTGATTGAATTTCATGCGTCGGATAGGTCATGCTACTGCGGCTCGAGGGATCAATAAGAGGATCAATGAACCTGACGAGAAAAGAGAATTGCATTTGTTCATTGATGCTTCAGAGGTTGGTTACTGAGCGGTTGCGTACGCGCTAGTTAGTTATTTGAGGGAACCACCATACTGTATCTTGTTGTACAGAAAGTCTAAGGTAGCACCTATCAAAAAGTCACTATACCGAGGCTTGAGATGGCGGCAGTGGTGTTAAGTATGGAGCTAAGTGAAGTCTTACGGGGGAGTCTGCCCAATTTTTTCTGCAAAGTGAACTTCTGTACAGATTCCACTATAGTGTTATACAACACTAAGAATACTGGGAACCGGTATAGCCGATCGCTTCGCTGTTGTGCACCAGTATACGATGGTTGAATAATCGAGTTATGTCACAGGATTCAGCTGATTGGACCTCGAAGGGTATACGAAAAATGACCGATCTTGAATCTTGGTTTAAGTGTCCACCGTTACTGCATGGCGATTTTTGTATAGCTATTACTGACTGTCCGGAACCTACTCCTGACAATATTGAGTTTAGAAAAACTGCTGTGATTAACTTGAGCAGTATAAAGTACAACATATCACCTATCCTTTCTTACTATTCTGAGTTGTT